TTTTTGTTTTAAAAAAAGATGGAACAAGTTTTCACCGGCATAAGTTATGTGCACCAAGGCTTGCAAAATTATTTGACATAGAGCAATCCAAATACAGCTTGATAGAGGCCTGTAACAATGGTTTTCCATGTGGGGGGAGGTGGGGTCCGAAAAAAATCTGAGTACTACAGAGCTGTGCTACATGTGTTTCATCAGATATATAATCCAGTGATATATTTTTTCCGCTTAAATTCAGAACAGATGTCAAGTCCCAGTCGTTATGGGTTACATGTATCAAAATAAACCGTTTTTTAAAGACAAAACTAAAGGCTAATCAGAGATAAAGATTACAATTTGGTATGAATTTAATATCAGTCAAAGAATGCAGATAATGGAAGAAACTATCAACAAACCTACATGAATATTTACACACATAAAATCTTTCTTTTTAATCTCGGTTTAAAATACATGCACATGGTCCACGTATTGAAGTCTTTTTTTAAAGGACAGCAACTTGTTTAAGTGCCATCAGATGTTCATCAGCATGCATTACCAGGAATATATGAAAAAAATCTACATTATTCAAAGAAAAAATTACAAAAATTATGAGAGATAAATTCCAGATTCCATCAAAACTTGTATAAGAAGAGGTGTACAAATCCATATAAAGACATAAAAAAATATTGCACAGAGGTCCCTCTTAGTGGAACTCTTCAACTCCAAGGAAGAGCCCAATCAAGTTTAAGCTATGTTGCGTGTGACTTTAAAACAAGAATTTAGATTTCTTCTTGTTATTTTTGTAACTAACTGATTTTAAATATGAAGGAATTTCAACCAATTTTAGTAAAGAACATCTGTGGTCAAAGAGGCAAACTGTTAGCATGATTATACCCCCCGCTTGAAAAGCGGGAGGGTATATAGTAATCGTTAATTCCGTCCGTCTGTACGTCTGTCCATCCGTCCGTCTGTCTGTCCGTCCTTCCGTCTGTCCGTCTGTTACGCTTTTGGGTACCCTTCTCTTATCCGCAACTCCTCTCATACCAATGTAGGAAATTTAATGAAACTTTCACAGAATCTTCATTACATATTGCTATTGTGCACCTCCTATTCTACTTTTTGATCCGACAAATATTTTGAATTTTCCAGAACAAAACATGGATACTGCCATTATATTCATATGGGAGGCGGGGGTATTATTTAGTGAGCTCATTGCTCACAGTACCTCTAGTTATGATAAGCATTAATTTCTTTCTCGAAATAGTGAAAGGTCATGTGTTCAGTTATTAAAGGGGGTCTCAATTGATCCCATTTTTAGACGGGGTCATGTGACCCCGTCTTTTAGTTTACAGTCAGAGGCGTCAAAACGGAAGCCATAGAGAGAACACATGAATTAAATCAACGCTACATAAAAGAGCGCAGAAGTTGTTTTGATCAAAATAAAAACATTTTGGATCAAACTGAAAAAAGTTATATGAACGTTTTTTACTCTGAAACTGAAAATATTAATTGTATATCATACGGACGAACGGATTGACTGACGGACGGACTCAGAGGAAACCTATGGTCCCCTCCGGTTTTACCGGTAGGAGACTAAAAAATAAAGTTGGTATCAGAACTATAAACCAAACATTTCTCTCAACGTGCAGCAGTAAATGAATTTGTGATATCTAGCATGGAGTTTATTTTAACCTTGTCTTTCAGTACTGTCTCGGTACTTTGATTTAAAGTTCTTTTCTTTTCTCACCCGTTATATAGTAGTGAACAAGCCAAGGATTATGGTGAACAATGGTGTCTCTTCGACAATTTTGAAATGCGTGGCCCAGAGTCAGACATTCTGGTGTGAGTGCGGGCTCTATTGATTAAGGTTTCGTCAAAGGTCAACATGTCTAAAAAATTATTTTTACAAAAGCTCCAAAACTATGTGTGGTATAAAGTCAAAACGTTTACAGTTTATAAATGTATCATTGATCAATAGATAGAAAGTATCACTTGATAACAAATATTTTAAAAAAGATATTTTTTGAGAAAAATTGTATATCAGAAAATGTACATATTTAAAGAAAAATGCACCTGCTTAATTCTGTCCTTTTTGTGAAAACCAACATTGTAGGAATAATATATGTTTATCATTGAAGGGCAAGTTGGACTTGAATGGTCTCTGAAAGGCTGTTATTGAAAGCATGACATGTATAAGGACAAGACCCCTATAGAATCCGCCATTTGCAATGTACTTTCACTTTCAAGTCTTATCATTTGGGCAAAATAAACAGGGAAAACAACTTTCCAGAGGCTATCTAAGTCCAACTTGCCCTTCATTGATAATCATATTTTGTTTCTGCAAAGATGGTTTTCACTAAGAGCACGGAATTAATTAGGTGTATTTTTTGAAAAAACATGCATTTTTAAGAAGAATTTTTCTCAATTAATATTATTCCAAGTATTTTTTTTATCAAGCGATACCTTCTATCTGATACTCAATGAAATATTTATAAACTATAAAAGTTTTAACTTTATACCTCACATAGTTTTGGGGCTATTGTAAAAATAAATATTTGGACATGTTGATCTTTGACGAAACCTTAATAACATTTGTAGTGAAAGGCAATTTTTTTTTTTTAGCAAATACAATTTATCATTGAGCCAAATGCTGACTGACGTTTTTCATACGAATCGTTAGTCCATTATTTATACACTGAATTGACGACGGATTTTCCCGTTATTTCACGATCGTGACAAGGAGCACACGACGGGTGTGACCGGTCAGCAGGGGATGTTCACACCTCCATGGCACCTGATCCCACCTCTGATGTTTCGGAGGTCCGTGTTTGCTCTGCTCCTTTTTTGTATTGTTTAATGGACTTTGATATTGAATACTGTTCTTTATCTCCATATCCTTCTTGAAACTATTTTTTTGCTCCTGGCCTGGGAACTGTAGAAAATTTTGCTTTTGCAATAATTTGTTTTCGCGAAATAGCTATAAGGTATTTACTAGCGATTCAAAAACTGTGATATTCGTGGAATTGCATCCTTACAATACAAATTAAGGCGAAAATGAAAATTTTGCGAATAGACAGACTCGTGTGATTACGGGAATATAAAGTCTCCGCAAATAAAGAGTTACTACAATATTGAATATACATACTGGTAATAAATACATAATTTGTGGCCCCCACGTTTAGGTTTATGGTATTTGATCAGAACTCTTTTGGTAATATCGTAAAAATGCTTGAATTCTCTGAAAATATTCTTCTCTGCTTCTTGGAATTCAGAGTTAGTGCATGGTTATGATATTTTTTCTTCAACAAGGGTCTTTTAATATTTTCTAATATGTGTATAATCTAATCTTTTTTCGGGTAAACATGATTTTTATACTTCCGTTACAAAGCAGATCATCAAATAGTATGCATTAATTTGATGGATAGGGTTGAGTAACTTGAAATAAAAACTTTTTGTTTGCTTTATATAATGTAAAATAAAATCCAGTTAAGTTAGCACTAGCCACCTCAATTGAGGACTAAGTTCGGGGCATGCAGGATGCCTTATTTCAACCTGGGGATCATTTGACTCCTGAAATGAGGACATTGAAGGAAACCTTTATTCCATCTTATGCGATTTTTGAAAGAAAGAAAAATAAATATACACTTTATGAAAAATATAATGTCTCCAATTACACAATCAATTAAATCTATGTTTTTTGGGTGTGTGTGTGTGGATGTGGGGATGGTTGTTTTTGTTTCTTTTTTTTGCAATTTTCTGTATCATTTCTTAGGCTTTATCGCATGCATGTTCTTTTCCGAACCAGCAATCATTTTGTTCTTACTAAATTGGTATCCATAAAAAAAAACCTACATGAACAATATGTTTTGATTCCATTAGACAAAGCTTGAAAAATTGCCTTTGTTTGTATTTCTCAATATTACTCGCGCAGATGCTTTAATAACAACTCTGGCAAGAACTTGAATATATGCGAGCTAGCACGAACGACTTTAAAAAATGCAACAAGAAAAAAAAAATGAATAAATTAATAATGACATCGACATATCAAAATACTTCTATGAAATAAAAATTAGGATTCGTTTGTCACAGATGAAAATTTGCAATTGGACATTTTTAACCATTTTAATTTGAATATTGTCTCAATCGAATTGTACTCATCTTTTGTAAATTTAATGAATTGTTATAATTGCTTCGTTCAGCAATCTTTCAGATTTATCTATTTTGAAATATAAAACATATGGAGATAACGAACAGTATTCAAGATCAAAAGTACATAATCAATGCAAAACATAAGTTCAGGAGCACATGACCTCAAAGACATCAGAGGTGGGATCTGGTGCCATGTAGGCATCCCCCGCCGTGTGCTCTTTGTCATGATTGGAAATATAGGGAAAATACGTCATCAATTCAGTGTATAAATAATGAACTAACATTTAGTATGAAAAACGTCAGTCAGCATTTGACTCAATGAAAAAATGTATTTACTGACAATACCATTGTATCAACCATAGAACTTACAAAATGATAACTTTCAACAAGACTACTGATATTCTTGTTTCATCAACTTGTTTGTCAATAATATACCTCATTTAAGATATTGTTCATACGTAGTAAAGCATGTTCTTGCGAATCAAATGAGATATATAAACTCCGTATGCAGACTGTACACTGTTCATTTCAAAGTGTCTATAAGAATACGATTGTTTTGTATACTCATGGATTCTATTGCTTTATCAACTTAAATTGCAGCAATGTGTGTGTTTAAGAACCATAGAAAACGAAACGCTCCCCATGGACTTCATTACCACAAACTCTTCTGAAAACAAAGACACGCTTTTATATAAAAAAAAAATAATAAATAAAACTAATTTGATTAAATAGAGTAGATCTACATTATGTCAAATGCATTGTTTACATCAGTGGGCTCTTGTAACGCCATGAAACCACACAACATCAAGAACAATAAGCAGGTAAGAAAAGTAAAATAATTTAAAAATCTTTATGTATTAATAAAACAACGGCCGAAAAATATTAATACACGTAATTTAACACACAATCATGCATAGATTTCCGTATAAAAAGTGAAATTATAGTGTTAAGAATCGTTTCTAATGAACTTTAAAAACGGATGATTTATAAAAATTACTGCCAGAAAGTGTGTTCGAATGTAAAGTCGCCATTTTTGTCTTTTGCGGTGCAAGAAAGAGATGGATAATCCGAAGAATAGTTGAATTCTTCCGGAATAAGGTTCACCTTCCTCCATGTGTACTCAACTTCTAACCGTTCATTCCATTCTGATATATATGTTCTTTTTTCCTTTTGAGCAGGAGGATTCTCATTCCATGACCAGGAGTTGTCATTGCAGTTCAACGCAACACCAATTGCTCCTTCCACGACAACACGTACACGAGTCTGAAATTCAGTAAATGAATTAAATTTTATACTGTTAATGGAATGCAAAAACAAAATCAAGGATATGAAAAACACAGCTTAACAGCAAGACAAATTTTCTAGATAAATCAAACGCACCTGATTTTGTTTGCTTTCCAGTATCTTAGTCAGATCCCAGCGCAATCTTGGTTTTAGTTTAACTTCAATGTTCTCAGGAGAAATAAATTTTTTACCATCCTTCTCTATAACACAAGAATAGTTGCCCTCTATTTCCTTTGATGCACGAAGGAAAGTAACGGCTGTAGTGGACCAGAACTTAGTAGTATCTTTGAAAACATAAGCGGTCTGTGATGAACTTATCTCAGCACCATTTCTTTCCACTTGTATGGGTGGAGGATTTCTTCCAAGTGCTTCGCAGTTAACTGGCACCATATCGCCTTCCAAATATGGTGGCTGTGGGAATTGTTCGAAAAACTTGAATTCATTCGCTGTTTTTGTTTTACTTATATCATAAAAATTCCTTTGTAATACGGACTTGATTACATTACTCATAGGTGTACTAAGCGAGCTCTGCAGAAATAGGAAATCCCCTACTCTCTCCAAAATTTCATCTGAGAACACAACTGTTGCTTTTGTTGTTGAGTTTCGTTCATAGGTAACATTAACATATTTATTTTCCTTCAATTCAAGTTGCTTAAATTCAGCAATTTCATTTTTAACACTGGCAACCATTCCAATATCCATATACCAGTCATCCCTGGGATCAAGTTCAGGATTACAACGGTAGAAGAAATCATATTCAAAATTGGAGATTTTAGAGAATGATGACTGACAGGTCATTGGATTGTCAAATTTAATTGTTCCATCATCTCCCTCTGTGTCAAACATTATGTTTGTGACCATTTCGTTTTTGCTAAGGATTATGAACATAACAAAGCTTATAGGCTTTTTTGCATCTAAAGTGAAAAGAGTAGTGCTGGATAACGTTTCTGTTGTTGTACCAAAGTCCTTTTCATTGGCTAAAAAGAATTGATATTTAAACAAACATGATTTAGTTTTTTTCTTTAGAAATTAATGAAGGTTCACAGTTTCCTAGCATTTCAATTTACTGTGCTCAGAGTAATTTTTCACCGTGTTTAAAATTATTTAAATTCATTGTAAAAAAAATATTAATTTCTAATAACCTCCAATGACCCGTTGATCAACTCCCCAGTAAGTCACCATAGGCTCGGCGAAAGACACTTCTATCTGGAATCGAACATTGTCCCCTACAGTAGTTTTACTGGCTGATACAACAGAACCTCCAGAGCTGAACCATTTCTTTGTTCCTGACTTTCATTTAAAATTCAAAAAAGTCGTATGTATATTTATTATCATATACATGTATTTTGTATATCAAAATGATATTTTGTTCAGAATATCACTTGCGTTCATTATTTTTCCTAAATTTATAGATAAAAAGAACCATGTTTCCTTCAATAAAAACACAAAACGAAAATTCATCAGTAAAATCTTTACCTTTACATATTAAAAATAGATTATACGGACGCTTTTCAAAGAATGATAAATCTTCATATCAAAGACCATAAACACAAACAAAAAATATAAGTAATTTTGAAATTATTGTCAATGTGTGTTTGCAAATCGACAATACAGCAACCCCCCCCCCCCCCCCCCCCCAAAAAAAAAAAAAAAAAACTTCTTTTAAAATATGACTTGATCTTTGATTAATCTCAATAAATTTCTGTATTACTTAAACAAATACTAACGTAACGGAACTTTCGTAACCTTCCTCATTATCCTAATGTTCTTTATTTAGTTAAGATCTCCCACATTGCTCTCATCAGAAAAAAACAAGCGTCTAAATGGCCTTGATCAATAGTCTGAAAAATCCCTGTTTTTAATGGTCAAATTCAAAAATTTAGCAAAATAAGCTTTAATTTTATAACGAAGATAATCCTTGACCAGTCTCTTGAGAAGATTTCGGCGCACTCGAGTTGTTCGCTTGTAATCTAAACAGGACTTTTTTCCAGCATATCTTTAATTTCCTTTTGCCCATTCTTCGACTCTTTAATCTGAAAAACGTTTGTTTACTTGCTCGAATAACGACTGTCCAAGAATTTGTACTCATCTTTTAGATTAAAAACTTTCTAAAAGTAAAAGAAATATTTGATATTTACCTTTGAATTGCACTACGCTGCCACTTTTGTGATCTATGATTGATATTATCTTAACTAAGCATGTTTACGTATCTATCACTTGAAAGTAATTTTTTTTTCATTTTAGACTCTGATACTAGTATATTATGTACAAATTTCCAGAACTGGATGCTGGTGAGAATTTTTAAGGAAATACGTTAAAAATCATTGCTCGATTTTTTTCGTGTTTTTTTTTTCCAAGTTTTTTCTTTTTAAAACTTATCAAAATTTCAGTAATAAAGCCAAGTTTAGAATACTTCAGATGAACATTGCTGAAAAAGTATTAAAAAATACATTTTAAACAACCTAAACCAACCTCTGAATAGACGTCACAAGTCGAAAAACCAAGGCAGGATAGAAGCAGGAATGGGAAAATAATTCTGATCATTCTTCAAGTTTTCCCTCAAAACCAAAACTTTCTAAAAATTCCCTTGTTTTCACTTTTGCTCACAACTAAGGAAATCAGTGCATATATATGTATAATGGACATTTCCGGTTGGATGAACTTTTACAGATATCAGCGACTATGGATAAAGAAGTGTGGAAACCATTTTGTGCAAAAATGAAATAACTAGTACAAACAAATGGTATAATTAATCAACCAAAATAGTAATTTAATATATACATTTGATACTGCACTTTTAATGGTTCAAAACAAAAAAGTATTCCACAAAGTATCATGTTACATAATTATGTGCAATTAAAATACTAAACGCCAAACTGTAGTACTACTAAATGGTATATGTTTTATATATATGAACCACAGTATTTGTGACCCCTTGGAAATAATATAATTAATCTGACAAGTGGATTATAAACATTGGCTTAGGCTCAAATTCAGCTCGAAAGAGAAATCTGGAGTATGGCTCAACATAATCTGTGGTTATATATCTTGGCTTAAAATTCTGACTGAGAATTTTGAAGTGGAGTATGTGCTCGAAATTTAGGTTATAAAACTTGCTAGTAAGAAAAACATATGATGTTGAAAGCTGGAGTAAGCTTTACTCCGACAAATGAGATGCTGGGAGCGAATGCCATAAAACTTTCGAGAGCCACTATTGGCCAAGGAATGTTAGGAATGAATTGTTATGAATGTCATATGTGAAACAATGAAATTCGTGGTTATAAGAACCTAATAGTTGGCAGTGGAACCCCCCTTAAATACTGCTGCCCCAGGTAACAAACTATAGAAAAAACTACTTTATAGACATATCCCCCCATAAATATGTTTGATGACCTTTTCTAGCTTGCGAGGGACTAACTGGCACTTTTTTTCAAACAAACTTGTACTATTCAATATGTTCAATAACACTGCCCCCCCCCCCCCTCCTCCCCAATTTTTATAATAGTATATAGTCAAATAGGGACATTGTAGTATTTTATGCATAAAATCTAGTAATAAGAGAAATTGGTTCCTATATATTTTTTTCGGGTTTTTTTTTCGGATTAGTTAATTTTTTCTCTAACTGCCCCCCCCCCCCCGAAAAACGATGCTACATCCCTTGAGTAACTTTTGCTTGGTAGTTCCACCCAAAAATGTTTGGTTGTGCCCCATACACTGTTTACGTAACTAAAATAGTTCCTAAGGGCCTGGAATTCTTGGACCAATAAAAAAATTAAGATTTTATTAACCTAACTCAATAAATTTGATATCTTTCGAGAAGGCAAGATTGTATGATATATGTACTTCATCTTGTATGATTTGTAGTTCATATTGTGAAGTCATTATGCCAAAGCAATATTTCATAGAATATTTCTAGAATGAAGACCCTTCTCAGGGATTGAATGTAAAAACTGGCATTTACCAGAAAATGAAAGAAGGTATAGAATATTCTAATTTAGTTCATAATAATTTATAAATAGTGAAGACAAGAAGTTGTACAGAGTGTCCTCTCAGAAGACTTCAATTTTGACTTTCTTAATCTTAAGCATTCAAAAGCTTACAGGAGCTTCTCCCTTAGGGGAATATAATGCGCCCGCTACCCCTTTCCCGACTCACTTGCTTTATCAGTTCTACTCACCCCACTTTAAATCCTCTATCTACCTTTGTATAAGAAGCACGCGCCAAAGCTTTGGAAACTTTATTCATAAAATGTTTTAAAACAAAAAGTAAAAAGGTCTAATCGATCGATGTTTGACGACATTCCATCCTGGGTATAAAAAGCAGATTAAAGTACTAAGCAATTTTTAGTACATAATGCGCTCCATACTGAAGATTCGTAGTCGCTATTTTGTGAATGTTCACCCAACCGAAAATGTCCAAATGGACATTTTCGGTTGGGTGAACTTAGAATGCACTATCAATCATGGATAAAAAGTATGGAAACCATTAAAAGAGCAAATATGAAATAAAAACACTAATAAAAACAAACTCATTAGTTTTAAATGGCATTTAGTTTACAGCACCTTGCGTGTTAAAGTAGTTCTGTAGTGAAAAAATTCAAAACTCAAAATTTTATCAATGTACTTCTTTTCTACAAACTAATCCCGCAATAATATCTAGAACATTTGGAAGAATAGATCTGGAATGACGCAAAACACTGTTCAAAGTTTTGTATACTTTTAACTTTGCGATAGATCTTTCTACAAAAGATCGATGCCTAGAAACTATAGTATAAAATTTTCTGCATTTCCGTTTTGCTACTGGATCTTCTCTACTTATCTGTTGTGATGTAATGGTGTGATTTTAGGATAACAATTGGAATCAACTTGATCTGCAAGTAATACGCAGTCATCTGGAAAAGGTAATTCTCTTCCAGACAGAGATATCTCTTAAACTTAGGGAGATATCTGTTATACTTAGAGATATCTCTTTTGATAAAAGAGATATTTTTCCACTTTAACAGATATCTCTTTCTAATTGAAAGATATCTTTTTCGTGAAAAAGAGATATCTCTGAACATTAAAGAGATATCTTTTTCACCTGGAGAGATATCTGTTTTACTTTTGGAGATATCTATCCCAGTGAAAGAGATATCTCTTAAAATAAAAAAGATATCTGTCTTAATTTATCTAAAGAGATATCTCTTAAAGTGAAAGAGATATATTTCAAAGGTGAATGAAAGAGATATCACTCAAGCTAAAAGAGATATCTCTTTATTGCAAAGCGATATCTCTCTTCATTATTTTTATTTAAATTCCATTTAAAATGACTTCTCCCTTACCGGAAGTAAGCTTTTTATTCAAAGTTACATTAAAGAATTTTTAAATTTCGACATATTCATGAATTTCTACATTAAAGCTTTACTAAACATGACAAGTGTTTAGATTTCATATTTGTAATAGATGATTATTTCAAAATTTGGTCCATTGAGATGAGAAAGTTCGGTCCATTGCATTTGAGATTATATAAATAAGCTTACTTTCGTTTTCCTGAATATTAAACTTTTAGCATTTGATGAACGGAGTTGCCGTTATTATTTGTTGTTTCAAACAAGGGATCTAAAGAATTTTTGTCTACACAGTTCATATATTATTCTGGGTATTGCACGCACAGTCTTTTTTCTTATAACAGCGAAACTATTCAAGAGACTTTACTATGCAATTATAGTCTTTTGATGAGGCCAATCCCTCGATATTTAGACCTGAGAGAAAGCATACCGATCGAGCACCAAGTGCGAAGAGATATCTCTATAATCTAAAGAGATGTCTCTCTGTGCTAGAGAGATATCTCTCTTATTGAAAGAAAAATTTTATTTCACAAATAAATAGTAAAAGGGCTTGCCATTCATAACTGTTCTTGAAGCGTGGCCAACTACTTTAAAAGTGCTGGAAAATAAATGTTCAAAATAAACACCATTTACAACTACACGTTTCTTTTTATTATAATTGTTTTTATTTCATCTTTGCTCTTTATGGTTTCCATACTTTTTATCCATTATCGATAGTGCAGTAGAAGTTCACCCAAACAAAAATGTCCATTAGGCGTAAATACCGTAGCTATTATACCAGGCCAGTGGCATTTCACAATCTTGCTTGGAGTAGAGGTTTATACATGATTAAAATAGATTGATGATAGTAATGACAAATGAGACCGTGCTGGCCTTAATAACCTTTAATAACCAGTATGTTGAAATTCACAAAGCCAATAAAAGGTTTTTGATAAAAAGTTTTATTTTCCTATTTTCAAAGTTTTCGTGGATTACAATAATTTAACTAGCTGGTCACTCGAAACAGTTTTTTCAGATGTGCTTGTGAATGTTTATTTCTTAAACCGTTGAGCTTGAGCTCATATCCTTGTTCAGTTGCTAAGTACATTCTTAAGTCCAGGCTTTCTGACATCATTGGCAGCTGTTTTTTTTTCAATGAAAATGAAACTCTGTACTTACCTTGCCATTGGTCATTTGCAAATTTTATTTGTTAAAAGAAATTCTGATTGTACACACAAGTCTTCTGAAGTTGAAATTTTAAAGATGCTCGAGTTTCCGATAAACAAATGTATATTTATGTTGTTTTAGGGACCATGTCAATTTATTGAAATTCCCATGGGTACTAATTGCACCCTGTTATTTGCACACACATTTTTGTATTCATATGAAGCAGACTTTGCTCAAAATCTTTTAAGTGAAAAGAAGGAAACAGTTGCTGTGGCCTTCAAATCGACATTTAGACACATCGACGGCGTGTTGTCAATTAACAATATTCATTTTCATTCTTATGTCGAAACAGTACATGTATATCCCGGTGAGCTTGAAAGAAAATATACCACAGAGTCTGACACATCATATTCAGTTTAGGTTCTTTTACTGGAGAAAGGCGTTAATGGTTATCTAACTACCAAGCTTTATAATGTCTATAAATTTTCATTCGTCAGCTTCCCTTACTTATACCATACAGCAATATGCATATGTCACCTGCGTATGCAGTTTATATCTCTCAGTTGATTCGATATGGAAGAGCAAAAATCATTTTAAAATCAGAAATCTGTCCATATCTTTTAACCGGAATGAAATTTTCCAAACACATGTAGTTATGCCCACGTAATCGAAGAGAAACTTTGAAATCGAAAAGAAACATTGATTTTCTCATAAACTGTACAGACATTATTGGAGTGTTGTATATACAATTGGGTTGCTCAATACACTGGTTAAATTTGACCACTGGATAACTTAACTTATTTAATTTTGTATCCACCGCCAACTTACCAATGGCAAAAATCTTATGCTCAAAGTACATTTGTTGGAGTGGTTAACTTACCAGTGTTTAAATGCTTTAATTTCATTTGCGATTTTCATGATCTTCTATGTGTTGCAATGTTGACAATGAACATGATGAAATGCTAATCGTCTTTGTTTATTTGAATGACATTAGATGGACTTTCACTAAGTTATCCCTATTCTTTTTTATGTGTCACCGCTCTGCTACAGAAAAATTTATTTCAATTAAATTCTTTCTCAAATTGTGCAAACTTGGATGAAATAACAATTGAATCGTATATTACTATCAAATTCTTAATTAAAAACTAGTATGAACTGTA